AGGGCCGGGCGCGGGCTGGTGGCCGCTTGCCGTGGAGGAGGCGCGCGGCGCTGGCGCAGCCCCCCTGAGCCTTGGCCGACTCCGCTAGAGACCCCGCTGACCGGCAAAACGGAGCGCGGGGCTGACGTGGGCCTTTCTGGCGACCGAGTCCAGCCGCCTGGGGTCGAGCTGTCCGGTGGCCCACGGCGGGCACCCTGCTGCCCTGCGCAGCCCCGGGGAGACCCGGCCGCACGAAGGAATCCCGCCTTGCCCTCCCTGCAGCTGGCACAGGGAGAGACCGAGGGCCCGGCATGGCGGCGGCTGCTTTGTCCCTCGCCCGCGGGCGCCGGGCACGCCTCCGTCTCCTGGGGCGTGGCAGCCGGGAGAAGGGCCTGCGTGGGGAAGGAAGCATCCGTGTCCACCTGTCCAGACATAACCGAACCCCCAACACCACTCAGATGAGTCCCCGGCTGGGCTGGGCTCTCCCCGCCCGGAGCCGCGGCGGCAGCCTCCCGGCCCTCAGTGCTGGGGGTCGTCATGGCGGCTTTGGCGGCCCTGGTGCCGGCCTGCGGTTCCGATTCCAGGTCCGCCTGCCGAGCCGTGGTTTTCTCCTCCGTGGGGTGGATGGGAGGTGGTCCGTCCTGCCGGAGGCGATGGGCGCGGGTGCGGGGGGGCCCTGAGGCCAGGAATAGGGCTCGTGGCCAAATTCCACCTGCCTGCTTGCTGTGGGGGATGTTTCTGGGAGCGAGGGACAGCTGCTCGTGGGAACCGCGGCGCCTCTGAGGTCACCGCAGGTCGCCGCTGCCTCGGCGGGGACAGGGCCCCTCCGAGATGGCGGCCGGGGCGCTTTGAAGACGGTCCTGTCCTTCTCCGCGTGTCCATCCAGTCCCTGGATGGCGAGCGCCTGGGCGGGTCACTGTCCAGGGCCTGGGGGACCCCGGGGGAGAAGACCGTCTCAGCTGCTGTCCCCGTGGCACATTGGCCAGCTTGTCACCTCAAGGCCAGCTGTCTGTTGACCCCAAGGACCCCACATTTGAGAGACTTATTCCGGCAAGCTGCACCTATTAAATCACAATGAAGGTATTTTTGGTGTTTTTTGGAATCGGCATGGCATCAATGAAACAGGAAATTAATTCATTTTCCCATTTTTTTATTGATTAAAGACATGGCCAGCCGCCAGGCAGAGCCTGTGATTGGCAGGCTCAGCAGCGTGGTCCGGGGGCAGGGCCGGCGCGTCTCCTGGGCGAGGAGGCGCTGTCCGTGGTGGGGCCTCCCCAGCCCCTGGCCACGGAGTGGCCATAGTGGGCCCTTGAGCTGGGCCAGGGACGCCCCCACCACCCCCGGGCCTGGGTCTCAGGGCCGTGCCCTGCCCCTGGCGGCCAGGGTGCCCGCGCTGGCGCCCCGTGCGAGCAGAGCGACAGGTGACAGCGAGCCGCAGGCCTGCCGTCCCGGCCGGCAGCCCCCGGGGAGCGGGCGGCTGCGCCTGGAGCCTGTGTCCTCACGCTAATCGGAGTTCGGCCTCGTCGGGCCTGCGGAGGCGGCCGGGCCGGCTGGGAGAGCGGGAGCCCTCGCTGCGGGCGGGGGTGGGGGGGCAGGGCGGGGTGCCTACGTCCCCCGCAGCACCCACAGGTACAGCGGGCGCTGACTCAGCTCTGGGCTGCGTGTCAGGGGCCAGCTTTCTGGGAACGGATGCTTCTGGTGGCCCCTTAGCCCGACTTCTGAGACTGAGCTGGGGAAGCCAGGCAGCCCTTTGCAGAGACCTCCGCAGGCTGAGGAGAGAGGAGAACGCCACTCGCTCCAGAGGACAGGCACGGGCAGCTCTCGGCGTTGTCCTGGCCAGTGTTGGCCTCCCTCCCCTCCCCCCGGGTCGCTTGGCCTGTGGCTGGGCCGTGCCTGTGGCTGCCTCGGGCCTGCGTCCCTTACGCACACCTGCAGGCGCCTCTCCCAGACCCTGGACCCGCCCTGCTGGGAGGGAGGGGCCGTGGGGCTCTGGTGGGCCGGGCCCTGGGGTGCAGGGGAAGGAGTGGCAGGTGCAGCGGCTGCCTGCGGCCCCCGCGTAGTGGGAGGAGCAGCCCGGGAGTCTGGCCCCGGCTGGCCCTTCCCGGCTCTGCTCCATCTCCTTCTCTGGGCCTCAGTTTCCCTGACTGTGTGGCCAGGGAGATGGGTAGTGACCACGTTGCTATGGACACCGGCTACTAAGGAGCACGAAAGGGGTGATGTCGACAAGTACGCAGGACGGGGGGCCCAGGGCCCGCGGGCACCCCGAGACCGTTCTCTTCAGGGGCCTCCCCGTCCGAGGCAGACGTGCGTTCCAGTCTCCGCTCTGCCCCCTCCCCCCGAGTTGGGAGCCAGAGTTCTTGACTCCGCGCCTCGGCGTCCTGAGAGGGTGGGGCGCGAAGGCACCGGTGGGCGCCGGAGCTGGGCCGTGACGGCCAGGTTCTCTCTCCCGGCCTGCGTGTCGCTGTCCGCGAAGGCTGACCCCCGGGGTCTCCGTGCCTCAGTTTCCCAGAGGCTGGCCTGGGGCGACCTGCCGCCGCCGGCGGCCGTCCTGGGAGGTCAGGGGCCTGAGTGGCCGCGGGGATGGCGGCGGCGGCGGCAGCGGGGCCGGGCCAGGCCGACGCGGTGCCCCGCTCCGCGCCCCGAGAGGAAGCCTGGCCTTGCCGGCTGCCCGTGTGGTTGGGAGCTGTGTAATTAACTCTAAAAATGGGAGGCTGAGGAGGAATTAAAATAAATGCGTAGTGGAAATGAGAGACGAGCGATGTGCAGAAAATAGTGGAGCCCGGCTGGCAGCTGCCGGTCCTGCGGGGCGGGGGGCTGAGGCGCTGAGGCGGGCGGGGGCGGGGGAGAGCGGGTGGGGGCGGGGCGCACGCCCCGCTTCCGTGTTTGCACCCCAGGTGCCGGGCGTCAGGCAACAGGAACGTCCTCTCTTGGGCTCTGGAGGCCTCAAGTTCCAGGTCACAGTGTTGGCGGGACTGGCCCCGACGTGGGGGTGCTGGGGGAGAGCGTGTTCCGGCCCCCCGGCCCCTGGCGGTCCCCTGGCCTACTGGGCCCCTGGGGCCAGCTCCCCGATCTCTGTCCCCTTCGTCACAGCGCCTCCTCCTTGTGGGCCTGTGTCTCCGTGTCCTTTATTTTTGTAATTATTTTTTTATCGCGGTAGAATATATACAATGTAGCTATGACCATTGTAACCATTTCAATGGTATATCAGAGACATCAAGCGTATCCACAACATTATGTAAAAACCACACTGTTATTTCTGGAACCTTTTCATCTTCCCACATGGACATTTTCTGCCCCCTGGACCCTCGCCACACCCCCTCCCCCGCCCGCCCCGCCAGCCGCCCCGGCACCCACCAGTCCTCCTGTCCCTGCGAGGTTACCTGTCGTAGGTGCCTTGTGTAAGCAGGATCTACAGAGTTTGTCCCTTGGTGTCTCTGTTCTCCAATAGTGTCCCGTCCTGGATGATGGGGACGGGGGGTGGGGTGTTAGAGTCACGTGTGGGCATTCAGTTTAAATTAACCCGAGTAAAATTAAGGTAAAAATGCAATTTTTCACTTGGAGCGGCCACATTTCCAGCACTCTGGGCACCCAGAGAAATTTGCCGTCATTCCAGAAAAAATTTCCGTCATTCCAGAGGCTTCTGTCGGCACGTCTCTCCTAGGGTCGCGGGGACAGGAGGAACGTGCCAGCTAACGCGGGGCGGGACCCGGGGTTGGACTCGGGCCAGGGCTTTCTCTGTGCTCTCGGGACGTTCGGGCCGTGCTGTGGGCGCCCTCCCTGCACCCGGCAGGCGAGGCCTCGTGTGGGCCCGCGCAGGGGCTGTGCTTGAGGAGGGGGTGTCCCTGTCCTTAGGAAACGCGCTCGGACTCGGACGTCTGGGGTCAAGGGGGTCATGTCTGCAGTTTACTCTCACATGTGCAGAAAAAATGACACACACAACACCCCCCCCCCCGCCCAAAGACAGAGAGAGAGAGGAAGAGAAGGACATAGGAAATGAGTCGGTGTCCTCGGTGGCCGGTGGCCAGCCCCAGGCAGGACGGGAGGAGAGGCCGAGGCAGAGAGCACTGCCCACGGGGGTGGGGGGCAGAAATGCGCTCGGCCGGGTGCAGCCTGGGTCCTGCCGGAGCGCCCAGCCACGGGCGCAGGCCCCTGCGGCTCCCTCGGAATCGAGCCGGTGGCGGCGCTCAGGACAGGCTGCGCCGAGGGCGGCCGAGCCCGGCTGCTGGGCCGGAGACTCTCACCCACCGAATGCCTTTGGGGACGGAATTCACCCAGGGAGGCGCTTTGTGTGAGGAAGCCAGGCCTTGGGAGCCGAGCCGCTCCCCGCTGGTCCCCCGAGGACGGGCCGAACCCAGGGGGGCTGAGCGGCTCGGGTGGAGTCTGCGCCCCCCGCCACCTCGCCTGCGGCCCCCGTGAGCGCTCTGCTGGCCCCTTCTCATGGGGGCGGGAGCTGGCGGCCCGTTCACCCCCCGCCCCCACGCCGCCTTCCCCATTGCGTTGCGAAGCCCAGTGCTGGCTGGGGGCCCCGATGCTGGGGCACTGGATGGAGGAGGTGTCCGGATGTAGATCTGGGAGCTCGGGCCTTTGTGCAGCCCCCGTGGGGATGGGCACGCGCTGCGCCTGGCCCCCCACGCTTTTGTGGGGCGCTCCTGGCTGTTGGCTTTGTCCTCGTAAAGTAACGGGGTCGGTCTGTGCCCAGGAAGGGGGTGCGTGTGTGCCCCCTGTGTGTACGTGTGTGTACGTGTGTGCACGTGTGAACGTGTCCGAATGCGCGTGTGTGCGCTCGCTCAGTCCTTGCTTAAAGGCCAGCATCACTTTTCCCAGCCGCGATCGTCCGTCGGAATGTGCTGGGCCCCGTGGGCGGGACAGGGTCGCGGGGGCGGCGCATGGTCGTGAATGGCCGTCCGGGACACCGGGCTGGGGGCAGAGACGGTGCGTCCTCTGGGAGCAGGGGCGTCGGGGCGGTGCCGCCGCCGCCGCCGGGCCCCACGGTGTAACGGCTTTCCCCCTTTCTCCCCTAGTTCCTGTGTTTGAAGAACATACGCACCTTCCTTAAAGTCTGCCACGATAAATTTGGATTACGGAACAGCGAGCTGTTTGACCCCTTCGACCTCTTTGACGTCCGAGACTTTGGGAAGGTGAGTGGCCTCTTCGTCCAGCCTCAGTCCCCCCATGTTCCCGGCATGGTGGCCGAGGGCCGGCGCGGCGGCAGGCGGCCCAGGTAAACCGGCCGGGCCCGGTCCCGCAGCCCCACGCGGGCCGGGTTGCTCCGTCCGCTGTCCGGCAGGTGACGGTGGGGCCAGCAGGAGGGGCCGAGTCGGGGGCCGGGCGCGGCAGGGCTGCCCCTTCCTGCGCAAGCCATCGGGGCGGGGCCCGCGCTGTGAGCCTGTGAGTGGGGGGGCGGCGGCAGGGCGTGGACCAGGGCAGAGCGGGGGCGGGAGCCCAGGCCCCGAGACCCCGCTGTTCCTGCCAGGGGACCCAGAGTCTTCACTTCCTGCCCCGAGTGCCCGGTTCTCCACGGGAGGATGGGCTGCGGGTCGTGCCCGCCCCGTGCAGGGCCCTGGCGGCTGCACCCGGACAGGTGCGGGGCCGCGGGTCCTGGAGGCGCCCGCCTCGGTCCGGGCAGACGGCCCAGAAGCCTCCCCGTGTTCCCAGGAAGTGTCACCTGGCAGCTGCCCCGAGCAGCTCCGACGGCCCGCGCGAGGCGAGCCCGAGGCTGGGCAGGTAGAAAGGCTGGCGTCTGGCTTCCTGGTGAGCTGGTTCCGGGTGCCACGTGCCATCAGAAGGCACAGCGGGTCCAGGGTCACTCCTTCCACTTCGCCGGGACCAACACTGTGAGGACTCCCTGGAGGGTCGGTGCTGCCCGTGTCCGGGGGCCCCGAGTCCCTTGGTGCCGCCCTTCTGTCGCCTGCCGGCACAGCGGGCTGGCCGCGTCCGGGTGGCCCGAGGGGCGCGCCGGCGCCAGCCGATGGCGCCGGCCGATGGCGCCGTCAGCACAGGTTTCTTGCCTGGGTCCTCTGAGGGCCGGTACCGGGGTTGGAGCGTGGGGGGCGTTCGCGGGCACGTGGGTTTTGAAGTGCGGAGGGGTTCTGTGTGCGCCGGTGCAGATGCTGAGCGGTCAGTTCTTAGAGGAGCCGGGGTTTGAAGGCCCTGAGGTGTCCGATCGGCATCCACGGCTGGGGTTTTCCCATGAGCCACCTGGGCCTGGCCGGACCCTTCCTTAGCCCTTAAGTTCTCTAGAGACGAGATCCCGGGACCTGCTCAAGAGCTCGCCTCTGTGCGTGATCGCCCAGCTCCTCGCTCCCTGCTTCCTCCTGAGAGGACTCAGCCCTGTCCTCCCGGCGGCCCTGCCCCGACTCAGAGGCCACCGTGTCCCTCTGCCCGGGCGGCGTCTGCCGGGCGCGGCTGCTGAAACCCGAGCGGGGCCACGTGGTTTCCTTGCCGCTCAGTGGCATCTCAGTTCCGAGGACTGGCTTTCGGGTGGATGGGGACCCCCGGTTTTCTCCTTCGAGCAGCGGTGCCCTGGGCGGGGGCCGCCGACAGCGGGGGCTCCGGGAAGGGCCACACCCTGTCACACACACGCTGTCACACGGGCACACGCTGTCACACACACGCAGACACACGGGCACACACACTTACAGACAGACATGCACTGTTACCCGCAGACACAGTCACACAGTGGGAGACACACATTGTCACACAGAGACACACCGTCACAAATGCACAGGGACACACCGTTCCACACAGAGACGTGCGTCACACAGAGAGACACACGGTTACAGAGACACGCGCTGTCGCACACGCACACAGCCATGCGGGCACACACGGCCGCACACGCCCTCAGGCCGTGCTGGGTCCCAGTGCTGCTGCCGCGCTGGGTGGCCCTGCCTGGCGGCTCGGCGGCTCCAGGCTCCGCGTGTGAAGGCTGATTGGAACCCGCCCTCCGAATCCACGGAGCAGGAGGTCGGGCCAGGCCGCCGTGGCCCCTCTGCGCCCAGCCCTGCCCCCGAGGCGCGCTCCGTGCTCAGTGGCCTTCTCCTCGGACCGCGGTCTGCCGCCTCCGTGCGCCTGGGAGCGGCCTGAGCGGCGTGTGTGTGCTGGACGCCCGGCCGGGGCGGGGCCGCCGGTGGCTGTGCCGGTGGCGTCTGTACCGCCTGCCCACCCGCCCACTGTGCGGCGCTGGCCAGTGCCGGCCCCGCCCCCCCTGCCCTCGTCCGCCCGGCCGCACACCCACGCAGCGACCGCTCCCCGTGGGTTTCTCCCGCTGTGGGCCTGTGGCCAGGGCCTCCCAGCCGAGTGTGGCCTGGGCCAAGGGGCACGGGCGCTGGGACTTGCTGACCCGCAGGGAGCCGCTGCCCGGAGCCTGCTCTGCTTGGCGAGTCCCTCGGGACGTCCAGGGACAGGACACCCGGGAAAACGGGACACAAGCACAGCCTGGCCCTCTCTGCACTGCGGTGGGGGACGGGACGGGCGAGCTGCCGCCAGGGCTGGGCTCCGGCCTCGGGCCCTCCCAGCCGGGCGACGCTCAGGCGCGGGTCTGGGGCTGCGGTTCCCTCCGGGCACAGAGGGCGAAGCTCCCGCCCCTCCCTCAGGGACAGAGCCCCGCTCCACAGGGACAGCTAGTGACCACCAAGGTGGGACTGCTTGCTGCGCTCTCCCCGGCCCCGCTGCTGGCCCTGGCCTGTGACAAGAGCCCAGCCAGAGGGAGGGCAGCGTCCGTCGGATCGACCCTCCGTCTCCCGAGTGGGCGACGCCAGAGGGGGCCAAGGTGGGGCAGCTGAGCGGGAGTCTGCCTGGGGCCGTGTCGGGGGCCGTGTCGAGAGCTGTGCCCCCTCGCCGCCGTGGGGACCTGTGTCCAGTGGGGTCGGCCGCTGCCCCCCGGGAGCCCCCGCCAGGCCGCCCCCGTGTCCGGGGACCTGCCTGGTCAGGAGGCTCCCACGTGCCTTTTTCTCGGTAGGAGGAGCAGCCCGGAGGGAGCGCGCACGTGGCTCTCTGTGTTGTTTGAGTTGCAGAGCAGAGCACACCCTCTAATAAACGGGTTTAACGCTCCTATTTATTATTCATTAGGACACCTCGCCGGGCTCTGAACTTCTGAAGCGGCGAAGCAGCCGGCCCGTGGGGCCGGGCGACCAGCAGGCTGCTGACTAGTTAATTGAGTGCGAAGCCGGCCGAGCAGCCTGCTCACCCGAGGACAGGGAGCTCGGGCCGGCCGGCCACGCTCACGTGGGCCGGCTCCACGCGCCGTGTGCGGGGCTCTTGACGTCCACGAGTTCCCGCCGTCTGTCAGGGACCCCAGGAAGGAAGGGACGAAACCCAGGCCCCCAGAGAAGGCGCGTCCCCTCGTGTCCCACGGCGACGGTGGAACTGGGGCGTCCGGGCGGGCCCGGCTGGCGACGGCGGAGGCTGGCTCGGCGCTGCGGTGCCCCTGCCGTACGCCGAGGGCGGGCAGCCATCAGGGCGCCCCCTGGTCCTCGTGGGCCAGCGTCTTGGTCACCCCGCTCTTCCACGTCCTCTTCACTCTGCACGCCCCACGCCGGGGTTGGCTGGGAGCTGGGATTTCCCTGGCCCTCCATCGGCCTGTGACCGCAGTCGGCTTTGATTGGCCGACTGTGTCCCCGCTGTGCCCTGGGCGCACCTGTTGCCATCTGGGCCTGGAGTCTGACGCTCTTCCCTTGCTAAAAAGGCTGAGTGAGACGCAGGAGGCAAGAGGAAAAACAGTATCAAAATGGAAAGATTTAATTGTAACAAAGTGCCCTTTCCTGAGGTCCAGAGGTAAATTATAACAAAGTATCCGTTCCTGGCAGCCTGGAGGCCAATTGACCCAGCCCCTCGGTTTGGGCAGCCCTGTGCCACCTCCTCCGTGAAGCCGCTCTGGGTTGCTCTAGCTTCCAGCGGGAGGCACAGGTCCGAGAATGGCCGGCCTTAGCAGCCTTCTGGCCAGAGCCCTTGTCGTGCGGGGATGGGGTAGGGGGACACTGAGAACCGGGCCTGTTTGCCCTCCGGCCCCCTAAGCCCAGTCACCAGGCGATGGGCAAGGCTGACCGGGACGGGGCCCTGGCCTCAGCCTCCAGCCACTGTCCCCCGCCCCTGCTGGAGCTGCCGCCTTCTCCTCCGGGGTCACCGGCGTGGCGGCGGTGGCTAGGCCAGGCCGGTTCCTGGCAGGTCGCGGGGTGGGAGTGCGGCAGCACCTTCGCCCCGCCCTCTTTGTTCCCTCCGCAGGGCCCGGCCGGGCCCCAGGCCCACAGGCGCGCGCCGGCCGCGTCCCAGTGCCCGGGCGGGCAGGGCCTAGCGCAGCCGAACACGTCCCCGGGGCTGGGGCCGGCGCAAGGCACCCCGGGGCTGCGCGGAAGGACAGGGGGCGGAGGGCGGACAGTCTCAACCCAGGGGCGCCGAGCGCCGACTGCCTGTGTGCCCCCCGAGACAGGCGGCGGCCGTCTGGGTCCTGCTTCCGCGCTGTTGCCGGCTCGCATTCCTTTCTGATCTGAGACTGAAATATTTTAGCTGGTGGCAAAAATGGCTAAGTGGCCTTTCTCCCCCCCAGCGCGGGAGGGATGTTCAGGGACAATCCGGTGCCAGCTGAGGCCGCCTTTGGCCCGGGAAGTCGTCCGGCTGTGCGGGCCGCCGGGGACAGCGGGGCCCGGGCCGGGAGTCTGGGCTCCAGCAGCGCCCGACGCAGGGCTGGGCGGCCCGGGCTGGGGCCAGGAGGCAGCTGCACGGGGTCTGGAGGCCTGGGGCCCTAGGCTCTGATCGCTCGCCCCGCTGGTCCCTCCCATCTCCTGTCGCACCGGCCGGTCTGAGGGCCCAGGGGAAGGGGGGCCTCGTGCACAGTGCTGGCTGTGCCCTCCAGGGGGGCGTGTGTCACACATGCAGGGGCATGGCATCAAGGGAGGCTGGCGAGGGGGATGGACAGTTCAGCCGCCCACGGGGAGGGCGCAGCCAGCGCAGGGCGAGAGGCCAGACCGGGGCTCGAGGGTCCGGACTTGTGCGGCCGTCGGCCTCCGGCGGCTGTGGCTCGCGGACAGAGGCAGGGAGGCCGGGTTTGGTTCTGCCTCTGTGTTTGCCAAGGGGGCAGCCTTGCAGAGGCGCCACCCCTCGCTGATGACCTCAGTCAGCTTATCCACAAAATGGGCACCACCGT